ATATCTAATAATATGTATCGATTTCTATATTTTATAATTAATTTTCATTTTGAACTTTTTTCTCTCGAATAGTATAGCACAAAAATAACATGAGTACCCAAAGTAAACGATACACCCACTGTTCTTGCATATACTGAAGAATCCAAAATTCAGTGCTCTGCATTATCTGATGTGCCAACTGAGATTCCTGCTCCCAAAAATCAAGAGCAATGTGAGGAGACCTACGTACCTGAGAACATCGAGCCGGATGTAGAGCCAGAGATAGAGGAAGAACCCGATTATGAAGAGAGCGGAGCGCTCTACTACTGGGGGCCCAGTGCCAATAGTGTAGCCGAATATTCATACAAAATCTGTGATGATAGCGTAGAACCAAGACAATTCTTTGGTACAGATTCAGAAGATGGGATAGAAACTATACTTAGCGACCAGCAAGGACATTCATTGCATGAATGGATAGAAGGCGATGATCCACTTCGCCCCTTCATTGATTTTGATTTGCCCCAAGAAACGTTAAATAATATCGAACCAAAACTCACACGTAAACAAGTTTATTATGCCCTAATTGGAGCTTTTAGAGGTACTTGTATTGAGATTTATAAAGATTGGGATATTAAAACCTTAACTGTTGGCAGTAGTAGTGACCAGAAAAAAGTGTCATATTATATATCAACATTTGGTCTACGACTCAAAAATATTGCCAAAGTTGCTTCTTTTGTTGATCTCGTCAGCAAGAAGCTTCCAGTAAGTTTACAAGCTAAGGGTATTGTCGATAAAATTGCAAATAAAAGTGCATTCTCCTTGCGAATGTTTGGAACCCCAAAGGTGGTCGAAATAAAATGTGAGAAAACTGGTGAAAAAACTTATAAACATGTTCACCCAAAGAGAACTGTTATACCCGAAGATGGCACAATTTTTGACTTTATGCTTCGCCCACCTAACGATGATGCACCAGTTATAGATAGCCTTCTTTTAATTGTTCCAGAGCTGGCGTCAACCAGAATATATAACTCCTATAATAAAGCCACCGATATTACCGATGTCGAACTCGAATTGCTGGAATCGCTACTCAAAGAGACCAATATCGAAGGATATGAATTATTATCTCCAACGGATAAATTTCCTGATACATTCCCACTCAAACGCATAGCCTCATCACACTGTCCATTATGTAAACGAGATCACGATAGTGAAAATGCATATGTTAACCGAAATAAAAAATCATATAGTTTCTATTGTCATCATGCAAATCAGGATAGGGAGACCGGATCAAAAAAGCCTTCTTTAAAGCTTCTCATTGAAGAATCAGTCATGGATCGGGAAAACAATCTCCAAATTCCAGAGAAATTAGACCGGTTCAGAATTTCAGATCCAAATGATCATTTCATATGGGGTGACTTACTTCGTATGTGTATGTCTAAGAAAAAGTTTACACGTGATGAAGTGTATACTGCAATTCAAGCACGGTAGCATGCGTCAAGCAAAGAAAACTTACCTGAATAGTTAAACTTAAAAATTCCGATGGTCTTTATTTTGATATGGGTCGTGAGCTAGAACTTGCAAAGCATACAATTAATATAATTGAGCATGGAGGGGAGGCAGTAAAATTAATTTCCTTAATAAATCGAGCAGTTGTTGAGAATTTAATACATTATGATGAAATCGATTTTCTTCCATACCCCCCAAATGTAATTACACCAAAGACGAATTTCTTTAATCTCTTCTTAGGATTTCTAGCTAAACCAGCAAAGGAGATTAATGCAAAAATAATGGATCCCATTTTTTGGCAAGTGGAAAATGTAATCTGTGATGGAAATAAAGAGCTTAATAGATATATTTGGAATTGGTGGTCATTTTTAGTACAAAAATCAAATAAGAAACCTTGATCAATTTTAGTATTAAAATCCACTTTACAGCAGTGTGGAAAAAATATTATTACTGATTTTATTGGTGATAAGGTATTAGGGCCGAATCTTCATTATGCGACATCCGATTTAGGAAAAATTCTTGGAAAATTTAACAGCGTTATTCAAGGCAAAAAGCTTGTAGTTATGAATGAAACCAGCATGTCTAGTGGCGAGTGGCATAGGTTTAATGGTCACCTCAAATCTCTTATAACAGAAGGAAGGGTAAGTATAGAACGTAAAGGTCTCGAAACTTTAAGAATAAATGATTTTAGCGGATTTATGGTCACAAGTAATCAGGACGCTTCACTTAAAATAGAAGCAGGCAATGCTCGTATAGTCTGTTTTGACGTATCTGCACGTTGTAGGGGTAATATAGCATATTTCGATCGACTAGGAGAAATTCTTGATCATCCCGATGCACCAGGAGTACTCATGTCATATCTTCTTAGCTGTGATCTGTCAAAGTGGAGTCCGCAGAATTTCCCTACCACTAAAATGAAAACGGATACAATAATGAAACAACTCCCGAACCCTACTCGCTTTATAATACAACATATTAAATCATGGCCCAAAAATCAAATCAATAAACAGATCTGTGAAAATTTATATCAAGATTATCTTACTTGGTGTGGAAACGACAGGGAAGACCGAATATGTAATAATAAATTTGGAGGTTTTCTTCCACCAATAGGAATTGAAAAGAAACAGGTACGAATCAATGGAAAAAGAGAATGGGTATATATCCTTGATCGATCCAAAATCGTAGCTAAATTACGAGAATCGGTAGGTGATATTGAGGAATTTTCTGATGTACCTCAAGCTGAGACATCCTCCAATGTATCCACAGATATACCTATGTTCGATGTCCCAAAAATCGTAACCCCCGAACCAGAAAAAAAGATAACAGAACCATTACCTACAGATCGCATCAAAAAAGGCAAGGCTTCATCGTCCGTCCCATTCATTACTAACACGACCCAAGACCTCTTTGATTATATAACAAATGAATCTTCAGTTGCTTCGTCATTCAAGTCTACTGATATATCTCCGCCTCCCGAGATCGTGGATATAGGAGTTATAGACGATAAATCTAAATCTCCAGAAATTATCGAGGAATTGGTGGAAGATGGACCCAAGTTAGTTATTAATGATTCGCCTGTTCTACCTGTAAATAATGAACCCGAATAATCTCTCAAGCCCAGTAATGAAGAACCTACCACTCAAGCGGAAACGTTATCTCCTACATATCCAGCTAGGGAACAGCGAGAGGCTCGTCTTCGTCAAAAAGCTATCGAACTTGGCGAGGATCCAGATAAGTTCGTTACCATAACTGAGAAGGATAAGCTCGATTCCATTG